TCCTGATATTGTAAGGATGGTCCTTAAGATAACAACGTTTATTACAACATCGTATATTTCCTATGATTTTTACACAAAGTCTTTTGCAGTTTATTTACTGTAAGCATACTTTGAATACATTTTGTAAACATCTAAGTATGATTCTGAACAGTGAAAACCTGTAGGCTAAATCTACCTTTGATTAGAAAAAAATAGAATATTTTTCTTTCTTTAACCTTCCATAACTCTTCCATGAGTCATTGTCCTTACTTTACCAAATTCTACTTATAATGTCAAGCGAGCTTTTGAAAAAAAAAATTCCTATAGAATAATAAAATTCACAGAGTGAAGAAAAATGTAACGACTCAAAATCAATAGATTTGGGGGCTTAAAACTGACAGACTATAAATTTTCTATAACGTTATTTAAATCTAATTTATAAATTAGAATAGGCGGGTTATGTGTTCAAGTGGAAAATGGGTTAAATTAATATAATTTAATTTTGTTTGTATTTCATGAAATTTGACCCTATTAGGGATTGAAGACCTGAATGAAAGAATTATAGTTTTTCATAGAATTTTCACAAAAGGTCTTCCCAAAAAATAAGGATACAGACTGTGGAGCTGACAAAAGTTTCTTAAAACTTGTAAACAAACACTAACTTTTTATGTGTATGTTCTCTATGTACGCAGGTTAAATCGATAGCCCCCCTCCCCCCCCCCAAAAAAAAAATGTACGAAATATTTTTATATTGTAAATAAAACAATTCTTATTTTACTTGCTTATTTTGCTCAATTTTTATACATGGATAGCAAGCAGAGGAAGTCATTTTATAATGTATGTACCGGTAGAGATCATTGCGCTGTGTGATTAGGTCACGTATTGATTAACTATGACGAACTTCATATAGAATTGAAAATATGTTCTCTCTGTATGTTTATATAATGGAGAGATACCACAAATGTATATTGTATGTTAGATAATAAATGCTCATCCATTTAAAATAATACATGGCTGAAATTAATAGGGATATATTCTTAGAGAAGAATAATCTTGGACGTATTATACTCCAAGACATGCGCATCAATTATTCCTATTTTTTAAAAAAAATAAACATTTTAAGATCTTTATTACAATGAAGGCTCTCTTATCCGACACACACGAGAAACAGATAACAAATGTATGTGTTGGAATGATCAAGGTGTAGAATTGCAACGTGTAAAGATCATGGACGTAAGTACAAATGAGAAATGAATAGCAGACACCACAGAAAAACGAATTGCACATATGTTGGATTAAACATCTTCAACTATAATAGGTTTTTTAATAAAGCAATCTACATCCTAATTTTCCTTCCATACATCTTCATGTATCAGTGTTTGTAAAAAAGATAAATAATTGTAATTTCACATTTATTACAACACATATAAAGTACATATTTCACTGCTTTACAAAATAGATCACCCCATTTCTTTACCAAAAAACATATTTGTTTACATGTTTGTTACTTGATGTTAAACATTTGAAAAAAAAAATAACTCAGCGATAAAAATTAATTTAAAATCGTCTCTTGAGGGTTTGCATAATAAATGGATGGTCTTTCATCTGTTAAAAAAATAAGAATTGAATTAATGCTTCACAAATAGTATATCATATTGTTCAAAAAAAATGTCTAATAACTATTTCAAAAATTGTCATAGTAAAAGAAACAAATGGTTGTTTGTGAGGTTCACCTAGTGACGTTTTACCATCATCGTGGTCCCCCTGATATATGTGCTACCCGTCACTGTGGGATCCCACGGTTCGGGCCAGGACTCCGGGTACCAGGGACCGTTAAGAAAGGTAAAGGTACAAGAGTTAAACCACCACCCTCCTTTGTAGTCAGCAGCACAGTTACCACTAGCTCTGTCATTATCTCTGTCTTTCGTGGTGAAGAACATGCCAGACAAATTAGCATAAGAACCACTAGTCTCTAACATACTGTCACCTGTAAAATTAAACAAAAGGAATCAGAGAGATAATTGATTTACATATCTTCAATCTAGTTATCAAAAATAATACTGAGGTACTTCTAAAATAGATGGCTTTAGGTGCTGGAAAGAGCGACAATATCTATGTAGGTCCGTCCTAGTATCCCAAGTGTCTATCATACTGATATCTGAATAATTATAGAATATATAGAACGGAGATAATGAGTATTGTTTATAATTAATTTACATCACATTAATCTTAAGTACAGCTATTTATAAGAACCAGGCAGAAATGAAAATAAGTGATTCATGATAGTGATCGATTTTTAAAAAATATCATATTTACATTAAGATACATCAAACTAAATACTTAATCACAGTTATAAATGGATTTCATGCATAGTTGATTAAAAAATGAATTCAATATATACCCAATTGTACTGAAACAGTCAACAATATCCATTGAGAGGTGTCTGTACGTGCAGGTGATTTTTTAAGAAGGCCGGCACTCTCCTTGAATGTGAATTGTAAAATATTGAATATCTAGTATCAAAGAGTAAAAAGTAATTAAAAATCCAAGGGTTATTTTAATTACGAATATATACAGTGTATTGTGATTTTAAATTATGTAAAAACATGAAATTCTAGTTATCTCCCTTGGCACTCTTATGTAAAAGGGGTTGGAAACAGTGTATTTAACTCTTCAGTTTAGAAGGTGAGGATTCAGAAATGTTTGTGATTTCACCTTCATTTTTGAAGTTTTGTCGGTTTTCATACATCCAAGGGGCATGTAAGTATAAAATTTTTATTAGAAAATATAAGCCTATGATAAAAAAAAAATAACTGCCTGCAATTTGCTTAATTTTATCTGACAAAAACAAAATTTTATTTCCTAAACATGCTAAATGAGAACAGAGTTTGAGTGTTTTGACAAAGGCTAACTTGTTTAAAAATAACATCAAAAACTACTTAAATTCAGTCAATTTTGGGGAAAAACATTTGATTTTGTACTGGAATTTGAACACTAGCTTGCTGCTGGGGATTACAGTATGATGGGTATCTCTCCTTTCCGCCAATACTCCCTTAGTACTGCGTGATGTAAACAGTTGACTGGACGAAGTCCTCGACCTCAGCATACATGAAGTCAAAGCAAGAAGTAGCGAAAGCCACAGCAGAGATTGGATGGAGCATATTTTTTTCTATGTCTCGGCGCCTCTATGGATGTATTTTTAGATCAGGTAGGTATTCAATACGTAACTCAGACTAATGTCTGAACAAAGACACTTTTGACTATTTCTTTTGAAATTGAAAAAGGGGAAAGTCAAGAAAAATTGATAGCAAACATACAGACTGACTGCTAGTAAAAGTTATCTGTCCTGCTAAAAATCTACCAGCCTGAGAAAATAATTGTCGTTCTTTTCAACTTTTGTAAAATTGATATTTGAAACTACAGGTACTGTGAGCAATGAGCAAATGATACCCCCCTGCCTTCAATATGAATATAATAGTGCACATGTTTTGTTGTAGGAAAGTATTATATTAATAATGCCATACCTTTGTACAATACCACTTTTTTTGCCTAATTTTATTCTTAAACACATGAAATCTCAGGAGCTTCCTAGGGGCTTTCCCACCTGGACCCCCTTCATTCAAACTATGGTATTACCAACATATGACTGTACTTTGGTACATAACTATCAAGACCCCTTGCCTGAACAAAGTTATCCATGCCCCCCCCCCTTTTTAGTCACAAATCCTGTACTGCTCCTAATACCATTAGTTGATTCGGATGCGCTTAATCAAATTAATAAATTTTAATAAATGAAAACTTTAAACAAGTCCAGCTTGGCATCGATATGTGTAAATTCGTAAGCCCACAGCAAAAATTTGTGCGTCTCGGGCAGTCAGGCGCACTGTTATTTCAAACACTGTTTTTTGAATGGGTCCTTATTAAATAGGGAATGTTTAATTAAGTCCTGAAAAAACCCAGATGTTATGGCAAAACCATAATTACTATTTTTCTTATTCATTTAATCAAAATGTAAAATTGTGCTCTTTCAAAGTCTGTATTTCCAAACTTATATTATATGTGTATGATATTCTTCAATTGCATTTCCTTTTATTTGAATTATAAATAAGGGTGGGGGGTCCTTCAAAATTTGATTGACAAGCAAAACAACCAATAAAATACTGGCCAGGTATAGCTATGGTTTAATCAGTTGAAACGGGGGAAGGGGTGTTAATCTCCCCAAAAAATCTGAAAAAAGCCAAAAAACCCTATCCAAATGGGGGGAAGGGGGCTTCCCAAATATAACTACAAGCAAATACACACATAGAAAGAGAGAGATTTATAAATATGGGAGCATGTAGCGCACATACAATATGCATGGGTTTCTGCCAATATTTTTTCGTCTAATTTAGGTTTAAAACTTAAAAAAATAAAATTTGATCCTACAAAACTAGAACTCTTTTTCAATTTATAACTAATAGTATGAATTCATGATGATATCACTAGTACATAGGGGAGGGGGGGAGGTAAATGAATATTTAATTATCAATAATTCACTAGCTTAATTGTTAAATAAATGTATGCATTCTCTTGTCATATTATAATGAATTTCATTATTTGTTATCATTTCAGATGCAATTTGAGCCTTGTTTTGAATTTCAAAATCCCCTTTGACAACACTGCACAGCTAAGGTAATGTAAACTTAAAAACTGGGGACCACCGTCATCAAGAAAAGATTATGAATTCAACTAACGTTAGTGTTACATATACTTTATATTATTTATGTATCATTAGATAATTTGGTATTTTGTGTTGAATACTTGCACTTTTTTTTGTTATCATTAAGAACATCCCTTTTCATTTAGCAATCAAGGACCTTCTGACTAAGGGCTGAATTATAGTGAACACTGCCATTTAGAGACTTTGAATTAGGTATCTTCTGATCTTGATTCTCTGAATTTTTTAGCTCACCTGAGTCAAGGGCTCAAGTGATCTTTTCTGATCAAAGTTTGTCTTTTGTCTGTCATTGTCATTCTTCAAGGGGAGAGAACTACAAAATTAATAGCATTACTGATATCTTCTCAAGAACCAATGGCCTAGGAAAGATGAAACTTATGTAGAACCATTGTCGGGTAGTGTAAATTCAAATTTTTCAAATCATGAACCCCAGTTGTAAGACGGGGCCACAACGGATGATCAAAGTTAAACATAGGAATATATCAAAAAAAAATATTTTAAAATATTTTCGTATACAGCAAGCCGTGATTGGTAAATCTATATGAAAGCATTTTCAGGTGGTGTAGATTCAAGTTTGATCAAATCATGACCCAGGGGATAGGGTGGGATCACAAAGGCCAGGTATAGGGTGGGGTCACAATGAAAGTTCAAACTTGTAGGGAAAAACGCACATTTAGTCAAAAATAAGTACCCTGTAAGCATCCTTAGTGTAGATTCAGTTATGTTCAAATTAAACCCCTCCCTCTCTCTCTCTCCCTTACAGGGAGAGGTCAGGAGAGGTCAGGACCACATATGCTTTAAGCTTTTCAATACAAAGCTTATTTTTGATTTTTATCCAAGCCAGGTGAGTGATGTGGCCCTAAGACTCTTGTTAAATCATTTATCTACACATATATGTACATTACAACTCGGTTATAACAAACTTACTGGGACCTGTAAAAGTACTTCGCTATATTCATAATTCGTAATATACATATTTGAAATTCGTAAAATTTATATAGTTGGGGATCCAAGAAAACTTCACTATATCTGTGAATTCACAATGTCCATGTTTGTACTAAACAAATTTTTACTGCAGTTACATGTACGAGGAAGCCAAATATGAGTAAAGGATGTATTATTGTAACACAGTGTCATCTTCATTATTTTGTTCAATCCATACAAATGTTTTTTTGAATATTGAAAACTGAAATCAGCAAAAAGTTACAAATTGAAATCTATAAAATACAGCATATCTAAACAGATTTTTTATTGTTGAAAAAAAAACCTTTTCAGATGAGCAAGGCTGTAATAGTCATACTAATATTCAGAATCAAATAACAGCTAACTACTTCAGGCAAGGATGGGGTGAGGGTTACATCACTTGAAAATTTAGAGAAGAATTGTAGAGCTGAGGTTTTTAGCTCACCTGAGCAGAAGGCTCAAGTGAGCTTTTCTGATCATGTTTTGTCTGGCGTCCGTCTGTCTGTAAATTTTTAACAATTTCGACTTCTTCTCAGGAACCGCTGGGCTAATTTCAACCAAACTTGCCTCAAAGCATCCTTGGGTAAAGGGGATTCAAGTTTGTTAAAATGAAGGGCCACGCCCTCATTCAAGGAGAGATAATTGGGAATAATGAAAATTTGGTGGTATGTTTTAAAAATCTTCTTCTCAAGAACCACTGTGCAAGGAAAGATGAAACTTATGGGTAAACATCCTAGATTCAAGTTTGTTCAAATTTTGAGTAAGGCGGGGTCAAAATGGCCGACCAAAGTTTAACATAGAAATATATGGGAAATTTCTTTAAAAATCTCCTTCTCAAGAATTGCAAAGCCATGATTGCTCTAGAGACTACTTCTGGATTAAAACTTCTCAATAATAAATCAATTTCTACTTTTTCACAACCACAGTGCTCAGGTGAGCGATATGGCCCATGGGCGTCTTGTTCTCAAGAACCACAATGCCAATTTTTACCAAACTTGGCAGGGCTAAGACCCCTTACATGGGATGATAATCAAGAAAAGAGAAAAATAGGGAGACACTGTGTCAGAAAACCTGTAACTTATGTTAGAGCATCCAGGGGTTAAGTGTTGACTCTAAATTGTTTAAAGCAGGCCCCTCTCTCCTTTAGAATATGCCTAGACCACAATAGGTATTACAAGTAGGAAAATCTGGTGTAGAACATCAAGACCAGTTACTCCGGTGAGTGTTATGGACCATGGCCTTTTTGTATTCATGATCATGATTATAGAGAAAACGAACTTTGGCTACTCTCTTCCTTCAACAGCAACAAGAAAAAAATGTTTAATGGAATACTTATTTTATTAACAAAGTTCAAATTTTGAATTATGTTTTTTTTCCAGATTGATGAAACAACCACAAGCATTATGTCAGAGGAATTTAGCTGGAGCACCTATTTAGCAGCCAGGACACATAGATGTACCTGTACAGCTGATACAGATAACATCAACGGCACATTTCTTAACGATGGCAAAAAAATTCTAATAAAGACACTGTCAGTTTAAAACTTTTTGAAAGAAATCCAGACCAAAAACAAAAGATATTGATTTTTAAGCTCCTCCAAACGTAAAAGGGGTTTCATTAAAACTAAGACCAGAATACACCCAAGGATATTGAATATTTTACCCCTTCAACATAAAATTTTGAATTTTAGTTTGCCTATCTAGTCAAGAACATGATTTTTTGACATTTGATACACTTTATAATGTTAAATTGACATTTTTCCAAGGTCTCTTTACTGTTAACCAACTTTAATTCGCAAACGATAAATATTCGCGAGTTTCGCAACTTATGCCTAGATCACATTTAAGCCGATGGTCTGGTAACTAAATTGTGGGCTGAAAGTACATGATCGACCGACACAATTATCCGGCGACATGGAGCAGTCACATTCATTTTCACCCTCAAATTCATAAAAGTAATTATTTTTATCAATATATTTCAGCAAAAAGTACATTTACAGATGTTTTTTTCCAAAAATTGCTTTAAAAATACAATTGAAATATTTAGATCATGTCTCATGAATGGTTAATCGCAAATACCACAGTAACCAAATATTTGTTAAAATAAAGGTAGGTACAAAAAAATGTTGTGTATTTCAATATTTTAGCTAATAGCCGCTCATATAGTTTTCTTCATACAAGCTAATTCACATTGGCTAAACTGTATAGGCAATATTTTTGGAGATGTTGTCATGGTAACCAGTTACAAATCACAAAAGCATATTTAAAATAATATATTTTCATGCATTTAAAATAAACTGTGAAAATAACACAATATATGTTAATCAATTATTATTTTGTATTTTATGGATATTTTGTAAAGACAATTTCTTTAAAAAGCATTACAAAAATAATTTGTTACCATGGTTACAAAAATTTATGAGAAATCCACTGGTTTTATCTAATATTTCCAAGGTTTAGGAGAACGTTTTCTATCTTATATTATCAAATTTTTTGTGCTTGTGCTATTTTTTCCACAGCATACTCTGAAAATGATGTATTTTGGTATTATCTTGAAAAATGAATTTTTGTGATATTCTGTTGCCATGGTTACAGAATATTTTTGAAAAACCCATTGGTTTTGTTTTGTTTTTTTAGAATTAAGAATGTGGTCTTTCTATCCCATGTTTTCAGTTTTCTTTAACATGTGGGTTTTTTTTTACTATGCTCTTAAAAAATGGTTATTATTGCGAAAAATGAATTTTTGTGACATTTTGTTGCCATGGTGACAGCATATTATTTAAAAAACCCATGGGTTTTATTTAATTATATTAAAATTAAGAAAATGCTCTTTCTATTCCACATTTTCAGATTTCTTTAACATGTGGGATTTTTTTTCTTACTATGCTCCTAAAAATAGTTTTTATTGTGAAAAATAATTTTTTGTGACATTTCGTTGCCATGGTAACAGAATATTTTTCAAAAACCCATGGGTTTTATTTCATTCTATTAAAATTAAGAATATGCTCTTCCTATCCCATGTTATCAAAATTCTTTAGCATGCGTGCCTTTTTCTTATTATGCTCCTAAATTATGTTGGATTTGAAGAAATATTGTAAAAAGTGAATTTTATAAAATGAGCTATGTTAAATTGAAATTCAGCACCTTTAATAAATCCTATATGACTTTATTCTTATGGTAATCGTTTATCATTTTGTATGTACTTCTCAGGAAAAAAAATATTTATGGTACTATAATCAAAAAAGCTCTGTTCCCGTGTTCAATAATAGTTAAATTCACATATTTTTCAATTTTTTGCTTGGTTGCCATGTGCATTTACATGGTGCATTGTTTCCATGGCAACAAAGGCTGGCCAAAAAAATTATGTTGTCCAATGATGTTCCCTTGGTCCATGAAGCAACATATTAAAATTTTGTAAAAATCTGAAATGGTCATGAATCACCCCCTGCCTGACTCTTGCAAATAGCTGTACTTAATACTGAAGTACATCTGTGATTCGCATTTTATCATATCGTGTCCTGTAAAGAAAAGTAATTAAAACAAAAAGTACAAGACAACACACTGCTAAATTTATATAACATCCTCTCTAGTGTAACAATACACCCCAGACATGTCACACTTTAAAATATATTTTATTGGGTGTTGTAATTGTTTATTATTAATTTAAATCTTAATAATGAAGAACATGTACATGAGAAACACAATTTAACATGATTTTTCCTGTACAGAGAGATAATTAAAAGAAATACAATCCAACAAAACGATGCACAATTCATATAGCACCATTTTTTGTGTAATAATAAACCCCAGGCGTTTTACATTTTCAATGCATTGGTTTGTGTGTGTGTGTTTGTTGTGTAAAGACCATGTGATATATTAGTAAACACGAAAAGATGAAAAAATAATATCTCTCAGAAATGATGCCTTTAAAAATTATCAAATACAAGACGAAGAAAATAATTCAAAATTATATGGAGGTAAGATATGGTATACACCTAAATGTTTTAAAATATATATACGATTTTCTTTTAATAAAACATAGGAATCGCAAATATGAATGGCATTAAAATGTTTTTAATTTTGTTTTTTTTAATTTGAATTCCGTTTCAGTGGGAATTTTAGCGATTTATCCTTAAAAATTGATATTCGAGATATAATTTCAGCGATTGTTAAAGCTCACTACAACTAAAGTTCAATTAATTTGAAGCTATCTTGGCACCGTCTCTAATAATACCATGATTAATCTTCGCTAAAAGATATGTTTATACAGTATGTGTCCGATGATTTTTTTTTCTTTGAACATCAAATTTTTGTGAAGATGTCGACATTACAGATAAATAACGCTCTGCAAACTTCTTTGTTTGTTTTAGTTTAAATAAGAGTTATTAAAATTTATCAGAAAACCCAATCTGAATAATAATGGTGGAGCAGGGGTTTTTATTGAATTTCTTAGTTAAATATAACTAACATAATTTATTTGTATTTAAAATATATAATTTGGAATTTTATCTACTTGACAATAGCAAATTCAATAGCCGCAGAATTCATAAATTGTACCTGTAAATGATAGTCTTGAATATTACACCTGTTTAATTAGCGTGGAACTAAAAAGTATACAGAATATAAAAAAAAATCGTCTTTTTTTTTTTTTAACTTACTAATCTTTCAACACAAAAAGTATAATTGTGATGATATACGTAATTTAAATGAAATTTTAAGAACTAATCGCAAATGCACTGTACCTAAGGTCCCCGTGGCAGGTCCTGAAAGAAAGAGTTGATATTTTCCGGCTTCGTTAGAGACAGAGAATCCGTCGTACATTTCATACAGCGTTGTACCATTCTGTAGAGTGATGGAAACATAAAGGGATGCCTTATTCTCCTTTGTTAACAGATGGATGGCGTCATTTCCTGTATAGTAAGATAAAATAGAAATCAAAGTCTATTGCAATACGATAATTGTCTTTTGAATATGAATATATACACTTTAAACAATCAAACTATTTCCCATAACCTCTAGTCATTAAAGTAGAATTTTGCTTTTTTTAAAGAAAATCACGACGAAAGATTGATTCTTCTTATTTTCTTTTTTTGGTAAGATTTCAATCAAACACGACCATAGAGTATTGTCACAAATATATCCTTCAATCTCAAAATAAGTTCTTTGAACCACGTAGTCGGAAAATAGCTCTTCAAAGCTAATGTTCTCTGTTGATGTACCCGACTTTAAATAAATATTATCTATCTTATCTTTACGTTTATTTCCATTCTATTTGACAATTGAGACAGTTTGTTAGTTTTTGAAGCGGTTGAGTTTTTAAAGAACATGTCGATTACCAATCCAGTAATTCTGTTCTGGGGCACCAAAACCACTTTTATATTCCGTCCAACTTCTGTCAAAACTCACGGATCCGTCTACACGTTTTTGAATTGCCTTTAAAATTAACAATTATAGCAATATAATTCTCTGTTCTGAACAAATGTTTATTACAAATATTATAATACGAACTAAAATATACGTATTTTATTATTGTTTTTAAGAATCGGAACACTTTATATGAAATATGCATTATAAATTTAAACATCTGTACACACAGTCCACCCTCCTTCCATTGTCTTCATATCACAGTACACTGTTACAGGCATGGTAATGGTGCGATATGGGTAAATGTCGTACACGCCAGAATTAGAGCCAGAATTTTCATGAAGATCTTCACAATCAAAGGGAATTGCTGAAAAGGGAAAAATAAAATGCTTGAATCAAGAATCGGCCAATTTATGTATTGGCGAGCATCGTCAAGTGTTCGTTGAATCTGAGGTCGTAAGTATTGGAAATAGACATCGGCAAATAATTGTTGATGTTGGACCAAACATTGGCTCACAGTCGACTAACGTACAAATGACAAAAAAAACAATGTTCACCAATGTTCGAGCGATGTAAAGTACTTCAGCTTGAATAAGTGATGCATCATCAAGCCTTTATCAATCTGGTGTAACGTTAAATGTTGATCCAAGTTGAAAATTCAGCCGGGGGTCATTTTTCAACGTTGAATATTGAACCCAGGTGTTTTTTCTACGTTGAGAAGAATTGAGACCAAAAGTCGTTGAATGTATTCCCGGGGTAATTTTTCATTTTTTTAATTTATATTCTTATCCCTGATGACCTCAACACGTTGAAAATTGACCCCACCTCAGAGTTTGAAAATGATTTGAACTTGGAGGTTGTTTTTTTACAGGATTTATCAGTATCAGTAAGCCTATCATCCAATGTATATATGTACATTTTGATCAGTGCACAATTTCATTCATCTTCAAGCATGGCAAATTATTTTTTGACAATACTTTCTAAAATCCATGGCATCCATAAATACAAACTTGTGAATAGGGCATAAAACAAAAATCCTGAAAATCTGGTGTAAAAATAAGGACATCAATTAGCCAGACTTTTCCATGAAAATCATAAGGACGCTACACTTTAAACCAAACTTCTAAACCAGTCACTGCTTTCTTTTGGAAATATATGTTTTCATTTTTATATATAGAAATATTGTAAAGAGTGTTCGGCAGTTTTTTTAACTGGTACTTGCCCTAAAACCTGCCTCATCAAGGGTCAATCTTCTCAGTGTATTCTTGTGGTAAACATGATACAAAAATTATATCATAATCGCCTTTGCTTTCGTCTTTGCTATAAGCTTTAATTGGTTCCGAAGTAAATATTTCTTTGCATCTTGTGTCTCTTTTCGTTTCATTCCAGTATTTTAAGATGCATATTTTAGTTCCTTGACTCTCGAATTAATCAATTTATTATGGGGTCTCGAGTAGCCGAAACTTTTATTTAAGATCTCATTTTTGTATGTTTCAATTATTCCTGTGATAATAGGGTCTCTTTCTGGATCGGAGAATCCGCGGGTATGTTAAGGAAGCATATAAGTCATTTCTCGGGAAATTTAGACTTTTTAAAGAAAACTAAGTTTGATTAACTACCAAAACCGCTGATAAGCATAAACTATTATTAACTATTGCAAACAGACAAAAAGAGTGTCTAACGCAAAGACGTACATCACCACCACGACATCACGTGACTTCTATTAATAGCGAAATTTTCCTTAATAAAAAGGCTAACAGAACAACAATACCCCGGAGTTTAATACTTTCTTTGAGTAAATAATATAGTTGAAAATCATCTATTTTGCCTAAAAAGTGCTGCTAGAATTACCGCTGGGTAAGCAAAATAATTATTCCTCATATTCAAATGAAACTTTACCCGATGCTTAGAATTTTATACATATGAATCGAGAATTTCGTAAAACCATGATTTACTCGGGATTCTAGCAGCACTTTCCAAGTTTGTCGAAGGGCAAACTTTCCATTTGTACAAATCTTATATTTTGAAATATCCAGCTTATTGTTGTTCTATCGCATTATTTTTGTCAAGAATGACAGAGGAAAGGCCGACCGGGATACGTTATATAGCTAACTGTCTTCGAAAAAGAATAAAATCGATGAAAATAAAATAGGATACCTTTATAATTGACTGAACCCCTAATGAATTTCACATAACATTAACGAGATTTCCTTTTAAAGTTCATTTTACGTATCTTTGTACATGCCGTCTTAGCCAAATTCTCTTTACAAAACATAATTAATTCTCAACTTACTTGATGTACGCATATGACGTCATCGGTGGTAGATTTTTATCACAATTTTTATCAATGTTTACACCTTAATATTCATTTTCTAGAGTTGAATTACGTCTCTAAATGCCCATATTACGAAAACTTGTGTTATAAAATTGATGTCATCTAGCCTACTATGACGTCATAATGTAGCACCGATTTAGTCAAGGTAGAATATTTTGTATGCTTCCTTATTACCCCTGCGTCCTCTCTTTGACAAGTGATTTTTAATGTTTTGTAGAATACTGTAAAATCACATATTTTCGATGGGTCAAATTTTCGTGGTTTGAGGAAAAAATGTTGGTTCGTGGGGATTTGATTTCGTGGATAAGAACTTTTTAGTAGTTATGTATATGAAAATTTACTTTTTGTGGTGGACATAAATTCGTGGGATTCTTCATACCACGAAAACAACGAAAATTAAACCCCCACGAAAATTAGTGATTTCACAGTAATACTGAGAGCAGTGTCAATGGGATTTCTCACATGTCTTTTGCATTTACCTTTAACCAAACCTTTGAATACCGCTGGGTTGTAAGATCTTTCTCTGTGTAGATATTGGAAATTGTTTGAAGGCTTTATGTAAGATTTGATATCAAGTTTGTTTGATTCTTAAAATTTTCTTCCATTATAAACTTCTGTGTCTAAAAAGTGTTTTGAATGAACAGAGATTTCAAAGGTGAATTTTAAGTGCGGATGACACTGATTGCCAAGGTCAAAGAAATCGAGGACCCTAAAAAAATATAATTAACTATAGTTCACTATAGTTTACTATAATAAGCTATTGTAATCAAAGTGCCAAAGTTTTTGTCAAAGTTTTCAAAGTGTCAAAGTTTCCGCCAAAGTTTTTTCAAAGTGTCAAAGATTTCGCCATTTTTTTTTCAAAGTGTCAAAGTTTTTGCCAAAGTTTTCCAAAGTGTCAAAGTTTTCGCTAAAGTTTTCAAAGTGTCAAAGTTTTCTCCAAAGTTTTTCAAAGTGTCAAAGTTTTCAATAAAGTGTTTCAAAGTGTCAAAATGATCACCATAGGAAATAAACGTTTTCAAAGTGTCAAAGTTATAACTTTAGTTTACTATGGTTAACGATAGTAAACCATAGTTAACTATAGTAATTTTTTTGTTAGGGAATCTCAGTCTCAGAGATACCCCCTACCCCCATATTCCATCTTCTACTTAACAAAATAAATATGTATTGTAGGGTTCGTTCTTGAACTGTTTGATTAAATATACCAAAAAGATCACTAAGCCTTTTAATTTGAAAAAAAAAATCCGTTTTTCAAGTTTGTTATTATGTTATTTATGTTGTGCATAACTAAACAGGTATTAAATCGTACGTGCATCATGCGTTAAACTCTTACCATTTTCAAAATACTAATATGACGAATTTTCAGATTGAAATAAATGAAGTGATTTTAGCAAAAAAGAAATATAGATAAACAGATTCATGAACCAAATTGTATATTGTGTAACTATGTATACTAAAAGTATTTATAGATACTAATGATTTACATATACTAATGATTTTTTTTAATAAATATTACACGAAATATTGCAATTTTAAACTACGTGTAACTTTAAGATCTATCATATTTATTCTAGGAACATAACTGAATTAAGTGTGTATTGATTACATTCGTGTCGGGAACAAATTGAAAGTTGGGGGGGGGTGTAAAAAATAATTAACAAAAAAGAAAAAAAAAATGTTTGTCCATTGTCAAAACTAGTAGTCCAAACCCAAAAAAAATCCTATTTCGGGGAAGGGGGGGGGGGTTGTTAGGATCTAATTTCACTTTTTTACCAAGAACTACCACTTACTCTTCTGCCTGTCGGAAGCGGGGCTAATTCAATTTCACTTTGTTCAAGGCCTATATTAACAAAATAAGGGCAGGGGGGCTAAGCATCCTTCCCCAGCCCTTCCTGACGCCCATTGGTTAAATCACATCAAACCAAGTCATAATTATGTGTTTTATGCTGTTGAATTTAGAACCGGTTTCATGATCGATATTTCCCGACCCGGCTCAGTTTTCAACGGACTAAAGTCTAAATTCAACATCTTGGGTCTCAGTATTCAACGTTGAAAAATGACCCCAGGACAACTTTTAACCCGGGTCAAAATTTAACGTTACACCGGCGGGTAATCAAGCCTTTTTAATGAAAAACTCATCGATTGTCCATTGTGTACACCATTACTGAATAATGTGACTAATACTTTAAGGACTATTTTGCTGATGAGGACCGGTGTTGTGACATCGCTTTTACAATCGACTAACATAAGTCTACAGCCACTGGCCAGGAAATATAACTTAGACATCAGGAACTACTTCTTACGTCGCGGTTCAAGTCGACTGTAGGATGTGGAGATTGGACCTACAAATGAGACCGTGTAAACTGAGGTCCCATTTTGCATCAGATTTTGGCCCGAAAAAGATCCCGACTCAATGGCTCTCGTATGCATGTATGTCGCGTAAAGGACATAATTTGAAGCCCACTATTTACAGAGAGGCTTTAAATAAAAACAAGTATACAGAAACTAGAAAAGAAACTCGTTGCGAGCAACGAGAGGTCTTCCGTCCAATTCTGGAAAAAACCCGCAAAATCGAGCTGAAAAGTGATATAACTTTTCATGGAAACAAAGGGGATTGAACCCGGGTCGCCAGCGCAAAAATCCAAAGCGCTGACTTTTACGCTATTGAGACCATAGTTTTAAATATACATTTATATACTTCTGCAACAGTTCATCTGTCTTAGAATAATGAAAGGCGGGTCACTATTCTTAATTTTGCGTCAAACGAATCGAAAAAATCTTCGGGCCTTTTTCTTTAGAATGTTCCATTAAATAGGTGTGATAGTTTCAATGGAAATAAAAAAAAATGTTCGTATAGCTTAAATTTCATTTTTAAGAAAGTATATTTAACGTATTAACACATATCGTATATAGATAACTAGCACTATTTCAGTGAAACTGCTATAATTTTCAACTGATTTTTATTTTGCTGTTTATCCCTATACTGAAATATCCCGATTACTTAAACTTTCATGTACAGCTTGAATTGCTTCGCCGAAAAGCGTGTCGCCCTATGACGGTCAAGGAATCAGACACCATTTATGTTTAATAACTTGAATGAGATCATTGAGACAAGAATGATGATATAAACTTCATTAAATTATCTTTTTAGATATGGTTTTCTTATTTCTATCTTTTCTATTTGTTTAATTCAAGTGTGCATTAGGAAAACGGTGGTTACGTTTAATACTTACTGTATATGTTTCTTAAAAACTATTACTTATAACTATGGTTTAAAATCTGTTATTCCGCAAAAAGTAAAAGATACTAGGTATCGTATTTCATTTGCACATTTGGTCTTTTCTTTTTCTGCTTTGAGAACCGGCCAAAACCAATTATAGAAGACGTTTGAGAGCACCATGGATTAAAACATAGTTTGACACATGTTTGCAACGTAACAACGACGTGACAATCCTAGTATTCCTTTACACTTCTTTTATCCCTATTTTACTTTCGTTCAAGCAAACGCTCTGCTGCCTCCGTAAACCCCTATTGCGAAATGACGGAGTTGACAGAGATAGCCGCCATTTTGGACCCACTTCAGATTTTTGAATGTTAATTTCTAGAGTTTGGATTTATCAATATTCAAACAAATTACATAGTAAGCTTAATAAGAAGGGTTTCTATTCACATTCTAAAAATCAATGAAAAATATTGAAAAACAAAAAAGTTAGAAAATACGGACTTTTTAATTTCGCTTCCGGTAGCAACCGGAAGTACCGACGACACACGAAAAGGTGATTCGTCACATCTAAAAGTCATCATCTATAATCTCTTACAAGTCTCCAGTTAAAATCTTAAATCATTTTCGAAAAAAAGGGGGGACAAATTTGCATTTTAAAATCAGAAAAGTGTCAATAACTTGGAACCAAAGGTGAGTATTCCAAATTTTCCTATCCATGCCACAGCTTCGTATAATGACGCATAATTCCTAAAATTTTTACAAAAAACTACTGAATAGTTTTCGAGAAATTGCGTGCACAAAATTTTGGGGAAAAAAATAAGAATAATAATAACTAGATGAAACTCGTTGCGAGCAACGAGAGGTCTTCCGTCCGATTCCGGAAAGAAAACGTAAAATCGAGCTGAAAATGTAAAAAAGATTTGCACACAAGGGGATTGAACCCAAGTCGCCAGTATAAAATTCCAACGCACACTAAATATTACACAATTGGGACATTTACTCTACGAAGCAGTGCCTCTCTCTTAAAAGTATGAAAGGTTGGTCACTATTCAAAATTTAGCTCCAAACGCCAGGAGTTAATCTTCGCGCCTTTTCTCTGGAATGTTCTATTAAATAGGTGTGATAGCTTCAATGAAATTAAAAAAAAACGTTCTTATAGCCTTAGATTCGAGGTTTAGAAAATATTTTTAACACATTTTACAAATTCCATATTGTATATATGCATGTAACACTAAAGCGATGAAACTGTTATGAATTTTTAACTTTTTTCAATTTCCTGTTTATCCCCAAAGTGAACTATCCCGATTAGTTAATCGAAAGAGGTCGAAAAACATGGCTCGCCCTACGACGGTCAAGGAATCAGATATCATTTATGCTCAATAACTTGAATCAGGTCTTTGAGACAAGAATTCTAAAATAAACTCCATGAAGAGATCTTTAAAAACTCGTTTTCTTATTTCTCTCTTATTTATTAGTTTAATATGACACAAGTGTGCATAGGAAAAACAGTGGTTAAGATCTGAACTTTCAATATTAATCGATATTCTTTTTTGAGAAAGTATTATTTATAAGTATGATTTAAGATCTGTTTTTCCGTGATGCATAAAAGATATAAGGTATCGAATTTCATTTTTCTTTTTCTACTTTGAGAACCAGTCAAAACCAATTATAGAAGACGTTAGTTTGACACAGAACTGCAACGTAACTAAGACGTGACAATCCAAGTATTCCTTTACATTTCATTTATCCTTATGTAACTTTCGTTCAAGCAAACGCTCGGCTGCCTCCGCAAACCCCTATTGCGAAATGTCGGCGTTGACAGAGACAGCCGCCATTTTGGACCCGCTTCAGATTTCTGAATGCTAATATCTAGAGTATAGATTTATAAATATTCAAACAAATTAGATAGTAAGCATTATAGAGAAGGTTTCTATTAACATACCGAAAATAAATGAAAATTACTGAAAAACAAAAAAGTTAGAAAATTCGATTTTTTTAAATTTGCATTTCGTAACAACCGGAAGTATTGACGACCCACGAAAAGGCGATTCTGCAAACCAGAAAATCATAATCTATCATCTCCAATAAGTCTCCAGTTCATATCCTTAGCCATTTTCGATAAAAAGGGGCGACAAAATCGCATTTTAAAATCAGGAAATTGTCCATAACTTGGCACCAGAAGCGAATTTTCCAAATTTCTCTACGGATGTAACAACTTCATATAATGACACATATCTTGTGAAAGTTTCATGAAAAACCGCTGAATAGTTTTCGAAAAATCGCCTGCACAAAATTTTGTCAAAAAAAGAATAGTAATAATAAGAATAATAATAAGAAACAGTAGAATCACTATAAGGTCTTCCGTGAAGACGGAAGACCTTAATAAGAAAATTAGAATCACTAGAAGGTCTTCCGTGTAGACGGAAGACCTTAATAACAGTTATACATACAGTCATATGAGTAGTATCTCCAGCCACTCTCATTAAACAGTCCCGACGTAAAAACCTTCTTGTGGGTCCGACATTTCTTCAACTGAGGATGAAATCCATAGAAGCTACACTCGCCTTGACACATGGCGGTACACTCGGTCAAAGAGTGAGAACTCTGTTCTCCTAAAAGTTCCTCATTAGATTTCTTATCGTTAAACTCTATTTTCAAAGTATATTTTTGAGAAAAAACTGTAGCTTGGGAAAAATCCATGTATGCGACAATTAAAGTGATAACACACAAACTGCTCATTTTTTTAAACTTTTCAAGAAGAAAACTGCCGTTTACTTGTGAATCTGTCAAATGTTGCCAAGTTGTCTAATATCTGCCAGATATATATATCAGAACCTAAATCAATGCCTGAAAATTGATTGGCTAATTGTTATTTAAGTTCTTTATTTTACTGTTGTTAAATTATCGATTTTATTGAAGTTAATATCAATTTTCACAAAAGTATTCTTTGAAATTGAAATTAAGAATATAGCAATGAAAATTGTGCTGTTTTTTTTCTCTGACTGAATACATGCTATGTTGTGATATCGTACAGTGTTTTTTTTCATTAGCTATCTTTGAAATATGGAAATTCAATATATATCTTTCTTTATCGCCTCACTCTGAATAAAACTAAAAATCAGCAATATCGAAATCAAGTTCCAAGGAACAATTATTTGACTCTCAGACATTATTTAGAATATATCAATTTATTTCAAATTTGATACATTAGCTTCTAAATGTTAATGTAACATGATACTTCATTACTGGTTTATTTTTTCCCGCTTGAAAAGCGGGAGGGTATATAGTATATCGGTAAAGAAACATGTATCTGACTCTCAGATATTATTTAGAATTCATAAATTTATTTCAAGTTTGTTACATTAACCTCTTAATGATAATGTAAAATGATACATCATTATTGCTTTATTATACCCCCGCTTGAAAAGCGGGAGGGTATATAGTAATCTGTATGCCATTGTGTATCTGCTATTTTTCTTTTTGATCCGATACGTATTCTGGTTCACATAGCAGACTATGGACACTGTCGTTATATTCATTTAAGAGGAGGGGGTATCATTTAGTGATTTCATTGCTCACAGTATCTCTAGTTTACTTTTGATTTAATTTCTTCGGACAGGACCGAACACATCTTAGAAGGACGTAGATTTGTTATATACAATAATAGGAATACTCATTAAGAATGTTCTTTGGTGTGATAAAATACTTTCTTAAATGGAAATATTCTAACTTTACATGTTCAAGATAAGGGGTTTGTAATAACCTTTTTTTTAAATAAAACTGAGACCCAAAATGGTGAATAGCTAAGATTTCATCTTTGTTATGAAATATTTTTTTTTAACTTCAAAAGTCAGACACAATATTCTTTGGGCTTGTAGAAATAATGCTTAATCTGCATATAGAAACATACATACATTATCCAGACAAGTGATACTGCCGTGTGTTTGTATGCAGTTTCATTGAAAAAGTAATGAAAGGGTCCTAATAAATCGATTTATTGCAAGGGCATATCCTCAATGTATCTTGTCAAATTTTTAAACATAAAGTCAAGAAGCCTTAAGATATTTGAAAAGTGCTGCGAACTTCATGAAATCTTGGCAATAAATTAATTATAGCTATATTTATTGTAGTTGACCAGAAAAATATTCAACCTGCCGTCTAACAAATTAAATTTTAGCAATTAAAAAAGGGAATTTATAAAGGTTCGCATCACTTTTCACAAACTACATATAGTGTTGAAAAGGATTATAGATTAAACTATGTTTTTTTTTACTTTGTTATGCTCTTGCATTATTGGAATTTATAGATGACCTCTAAGCTGTAAGTATAATTGCAAAAATAATATGACGTCGACATCACGTGACAAGTATAAATAAAAAAAAATCTCAATGTCCCCGACATTTAGATTTAAACTACATTATTTTTTTTTTAATATCAATGAATCCCTAAAAAGAATCTCCCATCCTAATAAAGTATGTATTTTTTTATCTTAAAAAATGGCTGATATTGTCATTTGTAACCTTAACTGTGCTGAGTATTCTACGGTCCTGGATTAACGACAGAATGGGTTCCGTGTATTGACAATATATCAAGGAAAAAAGGAGATATACCTCTAACACTCAGTGCGTACTAGTCCTGAGTGTAACCATGGTATATACGAATCGAAGAGAAGACGTTTAAAAATGAGTTGAATTTTCGCTTTTATGTTAATTTTCTAAGGTTTAAGACATACATTTCCTCAACAGGGCTTGTTTTGGTATTCATTTTCAATTCAAAATCCTATTTTATTCTTTAATATCGTTTCGGAACTATTCTCATTCTACGAGTTTTTTTTTACTTTACGAGTGTATAAGGCATTGCAACTATGGTGATGGATTG